TAATGGGCTTTTCCACTCTTTCTTTAATTTAATTCATACATGGAGAAAGTTGCTTACTTGTTCTTATTGTCGACATGGTCCCAGTCATCCCAACCGCCATGTGCAACTATGTCATCGAAATATGTGTAAGAGTAGACAATTCTGGAGTACTGTCCCATTGCTCGGCCCACGTATAGTGGGCCCGTACCTGTGACCCTGCACCGTACGAATGCAAATCCTGTCTTCTCGTATTCTCGTTTCCTATCTTGGGCCGCTATGGAACCGAACCTCGTGGCTATCGAGTGTAGCACGCAATCCTGAATCAACCGTTTTCACTCAGCCCAATGGCCCAATGATTAATGAATTAAGAAGCAAGTACCTATTACGTATATTACCTAAGAGCTATGAGCTATGAGCTAACCTTGTACATAGACCTTCCATTCCCAAATATGAAATCGATGGATCCCTCGATGTAGCATTCCTTGAAGTAATGCCTGCCTGCATCGTCGCAAAGCGTGTCTTGTGCGCCGTAGAAGCCGCAGCCGGAGAAGTATGCTTTGTCGCCCGATATGCGAAACGCCGCCGCTTGCCATCCCTGCATCCCCGGCATTGGTGCCGGCGCTGTGTTCTGCATGCCACGTACCAATTACCATTCATTCATTGCTCATTCTAAAGCTTTACTATGCAAAAACTAAATGTGAAGACCACGCAAGGGAGAAACTTGTAATAATTAAGCAATGTGCCACGTCAAATCAAATAGAGAAAGATATCAAATTAGTAGTGAAAAAGATACCTGTGCTAATGAATATGGTTAATTACTTCTAAATTTATTTATTTTTAATAAAATATAACTCCGCTTCCACCAAAAAAAAAAAACGTTTCTGTGATACTGAAATAGTATATCTTCTATGATCAAACCCTTACAGTAAACAACTTTGTTAATTAATTATTTCTAAATTTTTAGCCAAAGCAAAAGGAGGATCATTTATAAAAATAAAAAAAATTTGTACACTCCGCTACACCTTTAAAATATAACAATGCAGTTAATAGAATTATTATAAGAGAAATATATATTCAATTTTTATATTTGCTTTTTGTCACATTATTGCTCTTTATTTTTTTTCTTTCTCTCTTTAATCCACCTAGGTAGCTACACCTCAAAATGGGATCTACTTCTCAATTATACATATTTATATAATTTATTAGTCCTTTAACTTTCTTTCTTGTTTCTCTCTCTCGGCATCTGAAAAATGGAGTTTGTATTATATTTTTTCTAATAAAAATGTTATAAAAACAAAGTTCGCTTTACAGATCATATAGATTAACTAAGCAAAGTTAAAAAGATGAAACACTTTACTCAGATAAATGGACTCCAGTAGCACATGTCTAGGACTTTTTTGGCTGGATGAAAGCAATTTGTCTTTGACTTTTTTTTAATGAATCCTGTTGGTTATTTACTAAGAAAATATAAATATGCATGAATTTAATGAGTTTAAAATCATCAAAGCAAAAAAAAGTGAAATATAAAAATTTATGACACCTATTCATAATTTTCTTCCGGTAAAGGAATATATATTGATTCATTCTCAATTGTATGTAAGTTCTCCCAGGACAGATTCAAATCAAGGATTCAAGAGACCACAAGCAACACGTATATTTATGTTACATAAAAACGAGGTGGTCGAAATGAGCATAAGAACGTAAGTGGCCTAAGTATTAGACTATTAGTAAATAACATGTAAATTCAATACTATTTTAATAACTTTATTAAATATTTTTATCTACTTAAAAGTATTAAACATTCTTTGTGTAAAAAAATAAAAATAAAAATTCTTTCTGTTTGCCGTGTCATAAAACAATACAGGTCATACGTAGGTCCTTCCTCCCTCCCATATATGCTTCAAAGAATCAAAGTAATCAGTTAAAATATTTACCGCAACTTCATATTAGGTAGAAAAGTTATATATATTACTAGCGATTTAAAAAATATTTTAGTCGTTTTTCCTTCTCTCTAAAACTACTTATATTTCACAAATTTTAAATTTTATTTATTATTTTTCACTTGTTTTTGTATTTAACAATTACATCTAACTCTACAACTATTCTTACGATAAAATATTAAATGAGAGTATTTAAACTAAATCTATAATTCATAAATAATATTAAATACTTCCACGTATTTTTTTTCTTCTCTTTTTAGTAGAAATAAATAGATTATTATCATTGAATTACAAATTACTATATAATAATTATATAGATTTGACTTCTTTAAGTAAAATTTTGAATTTAAATTTTATGATAAAAAATGTGGTTAGAATTATTGTATTAAAAATAATTATTCAGATTTTTCAAAAGAAATTAAACATCAACAAATACGGTAAGAATAAGCTTGGTTAAAAAAAAAATAAAAAAAAATCAAGGCTTAATATCTTGAAAGTTGAAACATGAAATAGTTTTGGGCAAAGACAGTGTGTACCTTGAAGCTGATGTTTCTGGCAGAAAAATAGCTGGCAAAAACAGTAACAGAAGCAGTTCTGTAAGTACGCAATTGTTGTCCACTGGGACCAGGGTCACTCGCTCGATCATGCCATTCTATCACCGTCACTTCCCTACCCGCGCCCCAAAACGTTATGTACGGCTTCGTCACGGGCACAACCACCTTCTCTCTGCAATGCCAAACATATAAAACCATACTCATTAATTAATTATCCTACGTGCCACGCACAAAATATGCTTAATAGTTAATCATACTATTACATGTAGCATCCCGCACTGATTTGAATAACCACGTTCTTTCGGTTGTTGTCGGGAACGGCGTTCACGGCGTCTTGGACGGACCGGAAGTACCCGCCGCCGTTTATGTCAACGGTGATTACACGGTGGCCGACGGGTCCTACCCAATGGTGGTTGTTGGAGGAGTTGGTTGAACTTGAAGAGAATATTCTCAAGGTACGCTCGTGGTGGCGTGCACGTGTCACTGTTGCTGCATGAACTGTGCAAGTGAATACCACAACTAGCACTACTTGCAGTGACACCAAGAGTGAAGCCATCATTTAGAATATTATAGCATCGAACGCGAAGGAAGCAGCAGAATGTTAAAGAAGTAGCAGAGAGACTGTGTTTGTATTGACGCAATTACAATATTGGAGGAATGTGGAATGTGCAAGCAAAAAGGAAGAAGAAAGAGTGGTATATTTTATAGTCAGAGGCTATTGTGACGAGTGTGGTTGTAAGGTCGACGTGTAATTCTTGCTTATCACGGACTTTCCAACGGTCATTTTTACTAGCTAGGTGCAAAAAAATGTAGATATAGTCTTTTGGAAATTTGATATTTTGATTGGTTCCCATTACAGTATTGCATGCACAAAATATTGTAAAACTAGTGGGTCGTCATCCTTTTGTCTTGTTATCTCCAAGTAAGATACCACCTAGGTACTACACCATGTCTCTCGATCCAATAATTGATGGTGATTAATATAATGATGCCCAGTTGTCTCTCTCTCTTCAATCCTTATACACTGTTAGTCTCTCGTGTGCGTGTAGAAGGAAAGAAAAGAAAAAAGTCTTTCCTTATATTCTGTAAAGAATAATCCTTTTAAGTGGCTACTGTTTATGATTTAAATGAATAACATTCCCATTTTAGTTAGTAGTGAGTATGCGAATGCTGTCGCACTTTTCAGTTTTCTGTTGCTCCTTTATTCTGTACAATTTACATGCTCTACTCAATTATGGTTCATAGAGTCAAAGGTGATGCAGTTGCACTAATGATGCTATTAATTAAAGCGCATGTGATGTAATTACAACAAAGTTTAGTTTCCATTTTGTTTATTCGGTTCATTAATTCACTCGCTTCCGATCGAACGTACCATTTGTTTTTTCCTAACGTAATATGCCTATAACAATGCACATATAGATAGATATATATCAAATTCGAAAATCCACCTCCCAATAAGGTGGTGAATGTTTGGCATATTTTTATTATTCTTGATATAGTGGGGTCCGGTGTGAGAATTCATTCGTCCCTTTCAACAACTAATTTTCTTAACAGATAGTGTTATCTTTCACGTCCATGTCCACTGATTCATCCTCTTGTATTATGTATATAGCATCTACGTCGTGTTTCAAACGGTCATTTGGGTGGGGGTGGCATGTAATGCGATCATGACGCATGATGGTCCAGGCATGGATTAAATAATATTTTTCATTTTGGCCTCTTTTACTATTATAGTCGCAGACAAGTGGGCCCCACCCACAAAATTTTTGAACGTTGGGGCCCCTAAGGAAGGGATGAGACAACATTTTCCCAAACTTGTAAAAAGTCATTCATAATGATTATAATGGGAAAAGAAAAAAAGAGAAAAAAGAAAAATGAATGATGATCGGCCATTGGAGTTTCACGGGGAGGGAGCCACGGTGCTGTCACACTGCTCAGTTATCGTTGGACCACACTGCAATGTTATTTCTATATACCATCCATGCTAGTTCGATATTACTGTAATAAATTTTATAATATGTATAAATTTATATTTTTTTCTTTATTCTTTAATTATATTACTTGTTTATCTAATTATCTCATGCTATTTTCTCTTTTCCTTCCTTATCTCAATCTTTTACGCAAAAAATATTATAAAAAATAATACCACTCTTGTCACAGTTTAATAGGAAGAACTGAAGAAGTCTCAAAGCCCCCTATTTATCTATTATTCAATAAAAGAAGTTGTCAATTAAATGTTAAAACAATAAAGTATGTAAATAATTAACGAAACATTGACATTTTGAGTTTATAAATTTATAGTAATAATTCATCAAAAAATTTGATTAGTCTACTTAATAACTTATATTTTATATCAAATTTTAACGATTTAACCGTTTTAAAGCTCTTAATACATATATCAAATCTATAAATTTTTTAAAATTTAAAAATTATTTGATATTTTATTTTATTAATTCAAATGGAAGGATGATTATAAAATTATTTTACACATTGATTTAAATTACTCCATTTAAATGATTCCCATCCAAACACTCTCAAAGGAAATGAGAGATAATTTCTTACACTTCTTAATGGTAAATATATTTGAGGGTCTATTGTTAATTCTTTTTAGAGAAATGCTAACAACTCAACATACTTTTTATACAAAATCTAAGAATTTGCTAAATAAAATTTAATTAAGTTAGTTTGTATGGAAGTGTGTTGATAACACTTCTCTATTTATATAATAAGTTTCTACAACATTTTTGATAGCTTTATTTTTATTCCTATTTCTTTCGATCATGTGAATTATTTTATTACACTTTTTTCTCAAATCCTTTATTCTTCGTTGTTTTAAAAGTTTTTTTTTTTGTATAAAAAGATTATTTAAATGTAATATCTTTTTCTCATTCACAAATGTTCTCAAATTTGAAGCTTTAGAAAGTTGGTGTATATATGTTTGCCCAACCCATTCAGCGAAAAAAACAAAAGTTAATGTGTGACCTTCAGGATCCCAATGTTGGGCCTTCATCGGAAAATTGAATCCCTTTCAGAATAGAAGGATGAAAGTCATGAAACTATGTTGGTTTTTTTTTTTTTTTTTTTTTT